TTTTTTTTTTTTTTTTGGTTAGCAGCTTTTTTAAGTAAACGCAGGAAAAGGTTTTTTTTTTTTTGGCTTCTCACTATTTTTTGTCACCAAAACACTACCTATTTGTTGACAAAACCATCTAAGATCAAGCACAATTAATCAAACCAAATATAACATCAATTAATCAAAAATCTACACAAAATTGACATATCATTGAATGCTTAATTTTTTTATGTCTAGAGAAAATATAACAATAATATCCAAATGTTTAAGTCCTAAAAACAGAATACACCAATGCTACACCAATGTTGTAGGGATATTGCATCTAATGAGCTAGTTGCTAACCTCTCTGTGTGCATTTCTTTGGCCTTTTTCTATACAAGCAAATAATAGAGCATTAAAGAGATTATAGGGCACAAAGTAATCTATCAACATATTAGCCATCTTTATTCAAGTGAATAGCAATATAAAATGTACCACTGTACTTTCTGCTTCTTCATCAACATATTTGCCATCTTTGTTCAAATGAGTAGCCATATAAAAATCTATTTCTCCCACAAGCTCACCACCATTTTTCTCTTCCTAAATAAGAACAAAATTTCATATACGTAGTCTTTTTTATGCTCTTAAGAACATTAAAATTTTGAAATTAGATTTTACCATTTCATCTCATAGTATAGCAAAGCTCTTACAATCAAGGCAATAGGACAAATTATTAAAATAGACAAGAAAAAGGATATCACAAGATATCAAAATGCAGAATCATCACCAGCTATAAAGCAAGTTATGATTAGAAAAGGAATAAGGCATGACTCACAGTGGCATTAACTAAAATACAAAAATAAAAGCCTTAACAGAAATTCTGCACATAGGTGATCTAAAAGCAAATGAAGTTCATCAATTTAATCTGCAGGTATGACAGCTAGATAGGATCATCCTTGAAAATAAAAAAAAGGGCCAGCAAACCATCAGAAAACCACACCTGGGTGCAAAAGGACATGGTCAATCCTAGCAGAATTTTCAAACAAAGAAGAAGACTGACCAAAATTCAACATGATACTAGCAGAATTTTCAAAATTAAAAGAACAAGTTGAATTGTGCGTACCTTTCCAATGTTGAAAGCTGTGGAAGGATGAAATCAATTCCAATGAAGAGCGCTGTTTACCAGCGAGAAGAACCTTCTTCAATAATCTGGAGAGTAATTTTCAGGATACAATAAAATTATAAAACTATAAAATTAAGAGTATAAAATTCCAGCAAGTTCTACCGTTGAAATAACAAGCACAATCTCCTACCATTGAAATAACAAGTCCTAGCATAAAATTACTCTACAACGGTAGAACTTGATATACATCGCACAGATTGTTATTTCTAAAGGCAGCGAGAAGAACTCAAACTATAAAATTCCAGCAAATCAATCTTCATTTCTCTACACATAGCCTGTTAAGCAAAAGAAGTTCCAAGAAATCAAAACCTAAAAACCACTATTTTCTGGGGAAAAAACATAAAAGAAAGAATCAAAAGAAAGGAAATAAAAATAGAAATTCACAGAGGAAAGAAGATAATGTGATGGATCAGACAGATTTACAGACAATAAAAACAGACCCAAAAGAAAATCAAATCCCAAAATGAAAAAAAGCAAAGAAACAACAGAGAGAGATTAAACCCAAATGCCAATTAGCCAATGCTATCAAATCTCAAATATGATTCATTCCAAATCCAAAAGTACAAATATTAAGAGTAAAAGGCTAAAAAGCAATATGAATGAGGATTGTTTCATACAAGACCAGGGTGGCAGATTGTATATGATTAAAACTACAGGCCATATACTGTAGACATTGCTCATTTGCCGAAATGGATTAAAACCGTCACTAGCTAAACCAAGCCTAATGTTGTGGGAATTTGAGGCAAAATCAGGGTATCGTTGATCAAATTCTTTCCAAGCTTCACCATCAGCAGGGTGTCTAAGTTTTCCATCCTTAGTACGACCTTCAGCATGCCATCTCATGTCAGTAGAAGTTTTAGATAACATAAAAAGTCTTTGGAGCCTAGGTATTAGAGGGAAGTAATGCAAAATCTTTGCTAGTTTCTTTTTTTGGCAGTTTTACTTGACTCTTTTGGTTGTTGGCTTTCATTTAACGTGTCCCCAAGCAAAGATTTTCCTTATCTCCTCTAAACAACATACAATCATTAGTGCAGGCTGCAATCTTTTGATAACCTAAGCCAAAGGACTTAAGGAACTTTTTTATTGCATAAGCAGAAGCTGGAATTTTGATTTCAGGGAATGCTTCATTTAATAATTCCAGAAGCATGGTAAAGGATTTATTAGACCAGCTATTTAGGCATTTCATTTGGAATACCCTAACAACAAAAGAAAATTTAGAAAAGGTTTTGCAACCATGATATAATGGTGTATTCACATCTTCCATTAGTTGATTAAAAGTTTCAATTGCTTGATTATTTCCATGATAAGGCCTTTCTCCCTCTGTGATACCATCAAGATGTGATGCATGTACCCCATCATCACCTTGTTGGTTGTCTATAGGAAAGTCATGAATTCCAAGAGCATCTTGCACTAAGGCTTCCATCTCATCATGCTCATTTTCTAAATCAACATGCAATTTCGAAACAGTTCAATTCGAATTCAACAGCAAAAATAGAAAGAAAAAACTAAAGGTAATTGAAAATAAATTTGAGTTATTGCAAAATTGATAAGAGACCTAAGTAATGCAATTCTGAGTTCTCAGAATGATTACCGAAATAGAGAGGGATATCGAAGTTACAGAGGTCGCTGGACAATGTCCACGCCGTCACCGGAGTCCAGTAAAATGACCAGAGAGAGCAACACCGAGCCTAGACTGACTGCCACCAGTCAAAAAAACTGCATTTAATTTAACATGCAATCAGAAATGAGAATGAAATCGAGGAGAACCTTCAATTGGAACTTCAGAGAAATTGGAATTGAAATCAGAAATAGCTTGTGGAGGAGCTCTTGGAATCGAGGCTGGCTTTTTGGGAAGCCCGTTCCCATCGCGCTCACGGCCCGCCGGCGACTGGTTAAAAACTTGGTCGGATGCGGGATCCCTCGCTTCAGCGACTGGTAGCAGAGACTTTAATATACTTCAAAGGAAGTTCAGAAATGGAAATTGAAATTGGAATTAGAAATGCAGAAACCCTTGGAAAAAAAGGAGAACAACAATTGTTTTCTCGAAGGTTTGGGAAATGCTTTCCGGTTCCCTTCGTTGCTTTTTTTTTTTTAATTCTAATTTTAGTCTAGTTCTAGATTTCGCGCTGTTTCCAACCCGCTATTTTTTTAATTAATTCCCCGCATTTGTCAAATAAAACGCAAGAAATTACTTGCGTTTCATAAAATACTGTTATAATAAAGCAAGTAAAAACAAAAAAAATTAGTTGACCGGTGTTTGACGCAAACGCAAAATTAAAATTACAGGTAATGATTCCTTTTTTCTAGTGTCTTTTTTTTTTTTTTACCAGTGAAAAATTTAGGAATAAAAAAATAATTACAATATTACTACTGATACTTTGATCCCTTAACAAAAACAATAAAAAAAAAAAATGCACTTCCATAGCGGCTAAGGGCGCAAGTGCTTTTGTAGTGTCTCTCTTTTTATGGCAGCTCGTTCAGAATCAGAAACTTACGACACTGATTGCGTGTTTGGCAAATAAATGAAAATTTTTGTTTACTTGAGAAAGTTGAGAAGAATTTTAAAATTTTCACATTTCACTATTAAAATAAAGAGGATGTGCATGTCTGTTTTATTTTTTAAAAATTAAAAAATATATTTTTTTAAAAAAATTAAGTCAAATTTTTATTAAAAAATATTAAAATAT